ATTCGACGAATTTCGTAAGACAACTGCTACAAAGTGTATGTGCGTCTTCCACGAAGCTTCTGTTTAATATATGCCCATACATTTTCAATAAGGTTTGCATCGGGCGACTGCGACGGCCAATCCAATGTAACGATGCCAGATTGAGTCTTCCACTGAGTACAGAGCTTGCTGCGGTGTTTAGGAGCGTTGTCCTCCTGCAGAATCCAATCTTCATTTTTTGTGATGAACCATCGTTTGGCAGATGGCAGTAAAGCCTTTTTGTAGATTTTTATCATTTTCTCGGCATTTAGGTTGTTAGTAAAGAGGTACAAAGTGCCGAATCCCTGCTTTGAGAAGCAGTCCCAAAGATGCACCTTTATTCCATGTTTTACGGTCCGCTGAACAAGCCTATTGATGGAAGTTGACCAGGCTTTCATTAACTATCGGTAAAGTCGACCACGCTCTTACTTGACAGACTGTACTTATACTAATAAGACCGTATAATGAGGGAGGAGCGCTGGAGCTTGAGATTCAGGTTTTGTATATAAACCTCATTCAGGCACACTCAATATTACAATATTATAAGCACATATAAATTTTGGAAAAATAAATATTATTATTATTAAATATTAAAACATTATTATTATTAAATATTATAAAAAATATATTAAATATTCTTTGCTCATTAATTATTATTTTTTGCTTTTCATTTTCTTCAGCCGTTTATTTTATAACGCCGTTTATAACGCTGATATTCTTTTAAACTCTTTTAACTATTATGCTAAGTAAAAGGAACTACGCAATACAAAAATTCACGCTTCAATGAACCGGTCGGCGGCGGCCAGCAAGCGCGTCGCTAGTGCGCCGCCGCAGAGGGCGAGAAGTAGACGCAAAGTATGCCATTTAACATACTAGGAAAAGTCATTACCGATTGTGGATATTGAAAAAATGTATAACGAAAATCTATGAAAGCTACAGGTAAGGGTTCAAATTAGTGTAAGTAGTAAAAAACATAGGATGAAAGTTCGTAGAGGTTTGGATAAGTTTATATTACAGAATTTTAATGGTTTACAGGTATAAAATTAAAGGTCCATTGTTATAGAATGGAGAAAGTAAAGAATATAAATGGAAAACACTAAAAAGTTTATCGATATGAATAAATTAGTGATATGAATCTAAGGAATGAAAACGATACGAAAGGTTAGTTACGACAATTGGGTGTCCTTTTTCAGGAGAAGTGTAAGAGGTTTGGCAATCTTTGAAAAGTCTGATATGAATCTGCGATAATAGGAGACGAGACCGTGGAAGACTTTTATATCCTTTGCTGATTTTGGAGTTGGGAAGTGGACAACTACTTTGATCGTTTCTGGAGTAGGTTTTACTCCATCGGAGGATATAGTATGACCGAGATAGGCAACTTCAACGCCTTAGAAATTCGTATTTATCAGGTTGTAGTTTGATGTTGAACTCTCTGAGTCTTAGGAATATTATTGTTAGGTTCTGAATCATAGAAGGAAGATCAAAGGGGTATGTGACCACATCATCGAGGTATACGAAGCAGCGAATGCCTTGTAGGCCGGATAGAGTCGTATTCATTAGTCTCTGGAAGGTGGAGGGTGCATTTTTAAGTCCGAAGGGTGAACTGGTAATGACCTTGAGGCACTGTAAAGGCGCTAAGTCCAGGGTTGAGAAATACTTGCTGTTACCAAGTTGATCTAAGATTTCGGTGATTTGGGGTATAGGATAGGTATCACCGATTGTGACGTCATTTAGTTTTCTGTAGTCAATTACGACACGCCATTTCTGTTGGCCGGATGCATCGAGATTTTTGGGCACGACCCATATGGGTGAAGACCAGAGAGACACAGAAGGTTCGATAATGCCTTGTTCGAGCATCTGATTTATCTACTTATTGACTTTCTTTTTGTGAATTTCTGGGAACCGATAGGTCTTAGAGTGTATTGGTTCTTCGGAAGTGGTTTTGATGTCATGACTAATGGCGTTGGTATGTGACAGTTTCTCACCGGGGAGATGAAAGTTATCAGAATAGTCTGAGCAGACTTGAAAGAGCGCTTCAATTTCTTCGCGGTTTAAGTGGTCTATTCTCTACTCAACACTAGTCGGGTTCTTGCAGCGGAATCGATATTTTTGCTTTGAAGTTTAGAGTAGTGTACAAAGGTAGGTTTCTCTGAGGGTTCTTGATAGGTTGTGTCCACAGGGGTAAGTTTTAAATCGAGGTTTATTTTCAAGTTTATAGGGGCTTCGGAAACATTCACGACTGTTATATTGACTTTGTTGTTTTCTCTCACACGAACAAGACAATTAGCAATTATGAGGTCCTATACTAGAATTTGAAACTGAGCACACTACTACTTTTTCAGTGCGTGCTGGTATTACGAAGTATGGCTCTGTGAAGAATAGTTCAATGTTTGAATTGTTGACCTTTAACATTTCGTGTGTATAATCGATTTTACCGTTTATTTTAATTAAGAAGTCATTTCCAACAATGCCATCGTAAGGTAAGTCAACGTTTTTAACGATGTGAAATTTATGTTTCAGGATACATTTTGAGATCAAAGGAGCCAAGAGTGGGGACGACGTCGTCATTGGTACTGAAACCTTTCAGCTTTAAAACTTCTTTGTTAATAGGTAAATTTGATTCCATTACGGCATTTTTCAGCAGGCTGATTGAGGAACCCGTGTCTACCAACAACGATAAGGGGTAGCTGGAAACGTTTCTATTAACAACAATATGGGGTAATGATTTCTTAGATGGATCAAAAGATATTGTATAAATAGTTTCGTTATTTTGTAGAGGCTCGGTGTTGGATTTTGTAGCTTTTGTACAAGATTCAGTGGATTTTGTGGATATAGTATTCGATTCAGTGGATTCGGTGAATATAGTATTCGATTCAGTGGATTCCGTGGATATAGTATTCGATTCAGTGGATTAAGTGGATATAGTATACGATTCAGTGAGTACAGTATTCGATTCAGTGGATTTGGTGCCTATATTAACATGGCGTCTCACGCGACACCTGAACGAGACAGACGTTAGTTTAAATTTTGATTTTGATTATCGATTTCGTCGTATCCTTGAGATGTCGATTCATTGAAGTTAACATGGCGGATAGGGGCGGAGTTAAAGGGCCGTTGAGAGTTTCGAAGCTTATTATTGTATTCTCTTTTCCGGCATTATTCAATTGAATTAAGCTTTATATATTATAGATAGCCAGGGGCCTTGCAATAGCGGCATGGTAGCACGTTAGGATAAAAGGTAGTTGTAGGCACAGGTGGTCTTCCTGACTGAAACGGTCTCGTGGGGTTTGTCGTTCTTATTGGACGATTTTCGCGCCTATTTTCGGGGACGATTCTCTTATACAGGGTCTGTTGGATACGCTCTTCTGATATTGCAAAATTTATCGCTTCGTTAAGCGACCTCGGTGATCTGCATCGAGTTATGTTTGAAATGCGTGGTTGTAATCCTGTTAGAAATTGGTGGAGGGCTAGTTCCTCCATAGCGGCTATTCTCCCGGGAAGTTCTTTGACTTTGGTATTAAATAAAGATATTTCTGTGAGGATCTGAGACAGTATTGTTTCTATTCTTAATGAAAATTGAGAGACATTTTCAGAGATAAGCTGTTTGCTTTCTTGTAATTCCATTAAAAGGTGGGAGTAATGTTTTCTTTCACTAAATTGATTTTTCAAAAATTCTTTGAATTGCTCCCTATTTAAAAATTATTTTATTGAACAAGCAACTTCAGCTTTTCCCTGTAATTGACACAATATATACAGTACCAGTCAAAAGTTTTCGATCACGTGTTAAAATTAGGGACACGGTATCGAATAGAAAGTATCGATTCTGTACTCATAAGTAGTATCGAATAAAAAGTATCGTACTCATAAATGTATCGAAACAAAAGTATCGATACTTCAAAGTATCGAGTACTTTTCTTGGAGCCTAATGACGTACGCGTCAGAACTCTCAGAACATTAATATCAGTCAGTAAATAAAAATAAAAGGTTTTGGCACACAAATTTATTACAATAATAAGACGACTATAACTTTACAAATTTTAAACTTTATGAAAAAAGAACTATTAATTTAGGCACACATCAAAGTTCCCATTCCTCCTCCGTACAATCACTTAAAAATAAGAGTTTATCGAGCCGTTTTGGCGATAGGCGGTTTCGGATTTTTGTTATAGTACTTCCTGCTTTAGAAAATAATCGTTCTGAGAGCACTGACGTCGCTGAAATTGACAAATATTCTCGTGCCAACTTGTATAATTTTGGGTAAACAACTTTCATATCTTCCCATTGTTTCAAAGGATCTAAGGAAAGTGGTGAAACCTGTGCAGACAAATAATAGTTTATTTCATCCTTTGTTTTGGACTGGAAAGAAGATGAAGAACAATTTTTTTTGTTTTGTTTTTTTGTATGCGCTAACTTCTTATGATGACTGCAAAAATCGTATGTTGTTTCAACAGAAGAATCGCTGTCAGGTTCACTGCTAATAATACTGGAACTGGGAGTGGTAGTAATAAATCGTCTCAGTAAAGAAATAGCCTTTGCACAAGCTCTAGCATCTTGAAAGTGAATATTCTTGAATCTTGGATCCAGTAAACATGAGATTGCAATCAAATGATTTTCTTCAATATGTCCGAATCTGTGTTCTATCTGTTTGATTATTTCTTTTTTTATTGTGTTTATTACCCCATCATCGGTATTATCATCATCGCCTACACATACAGCCACATCTACATCATTAATCTGCGCCTTCAAGCAGTTCATCATCGGTATTATTTTACTTATGGTCACATATTGTTCACCCGATAGCTCTTTGGTTACATATTCCAGTGGTTTCAATATTAAAATCAATGTTTTTATATTCTGCATTTGTACAGCCGAAGGTGTGGGTGGTGCTTTAGTATTTAACATTAAAATTTGATGAACAATCGGCGCTAATTCTATGTATCTCTGGAGCATATAATAGACAGAATTCCAACGAGTTTTAACATCTAAATCAGTTTGAGAGGTTGAGAGCCAGTTTGCTTTTGACGTAAAGAGTCGCTGAGAATTACACTGCTCTTGAAAAATTTGACGATGTCTCGTACTTTGCTTACTAATGAACTGAAATCATTGACTGACATTGCAGATTCAGCGATAAGATTGATTGTATGAGCAAAGCAAGGCAAGTGCTTATTTTTTTCTAGAAAATTAGCTATGCCTGCTGTCATGTTTGAGCCGTTGTCCGTAACTACAGCAGTTATTTTTTCCAGGCTGATGTGCATACCTGCACAAATTTCTCTTAATTTGTCAGCTATGTAGTCACCAGTATGCCGTTGATCCAGTGCAACAGCTATGCAACGCGATACAAGTCTGTCATCATGCAAATAATGAGCAGTAACCCCTAAATAACTGGTAACAGTCATCATCTCACTCCAAATATCACAGGTTAATGCCAAGTGAGAAATATTGTCAAATATGTTTTCAAATTTCAAATGCATGGTACTGAAAAAAGCATCGAATTGGGCTTTAAGTGTATCCACGCTTGGAATTTTAAACGACGGACAAGCTTGATGCATCAATTTTTTAAATCCACGCCCTTTCACAATGTCAAACGGTCTTTTATCAACGCAAATAAAATAAAGCAAGCATTTGCATAGCTTCAAATGATCCTTTCCTCCATCGGAATAAGAATATTTACGTTCTATTGTTTGTACAATAGAAAGTTGTCTTTTTTTTGGAAGTGGTGCACATGTTTCTGTAAGCTCACTGTCATAGATTGGAGCTTTATTGACATCAGATGATGAAGGAGTAGCTAGAAATGTATCCGATTCAGGTGCTTTTGCTGTACTTGTCGATGGTTGTGGTTCATGACTCGGTGGCGGTGAATTCGGCGGGTGTAGCTTTTTATTAATCGTTGTTTGTCTCTTTTCATCTCCTTTCCCACAAAAAAACGGAATTAGTTTCGTGCTCCTAAGAAGTTCTTCAATGTAAAACGGGCATAATTATTATTTTTTTCTTTGATTATACAACTTCAAATTTATTTATTACTAGCAAATTCTAGCAACTTCGTTCGCGTGGACGTTAAATAAATAAATGGTTAAAAATGTATGTTTCAGTTATGGTAATAACAATATAAGCCTAAGTTAGGCCCTTATTTCGAAGTCACAAATAGACACGCCAATTTTGTTTTATTTGGATATGAATTGGATTAAATCCATTCAGCAGTTTAGGGCATTTTGGAACGCAGTAGTCGTAATGAATTTCGCCCGTTAAGGAACGTAGCCTTAGTAAGTAACAATAAAATATATGGAGTCATTTTAGGTTAAGTACATTTAAAAAAAAAACAGAAAATTATATTAAAAATACCTCAACGCATTAGAATGTTTCTTAAGATGTTTATTCATGTTTGACGTATTCCCTGACGTTTTTATGGTTTTGAAACAAATCTTGCATTTCACTTCGTTGTTGTTATTCTTGAAAAAATACTGCCAAAGTTCACTCTTAGTAGGCGGCATTCTTCTAATGACTCAAATGTCGATACACAGTACAAATGATTAATAAGTTGTTTTATATTATACACCTTAAATGAAATAATAGTCAAGCACAATAATTATTGATGACAAGCATTAATGCAGCAGAAAAACAAATCGCGAAACGAGCTCGAAGAATTAAACAATATTATAATAACAGTGAACGAGTGAGTGATTGATTAATGAAGTAAATGAACGAATGGTTAGAAACAGAACTATAAACGGAAGGAACGAACGATTGTAATGTTTTAGATTAGAAGGTTCAGAACGATTGGACTAGATGGCGTTGCCATAAACATGCATGGCCGTAACCGTAAGGTCGTAAGTTTTAAGTGGGTAATTTCTGATATGTATTCGATACGATACCTGTTGAAAAGTACTCATCGAGTAAAAGTATCGAATACAAAGTATCGAGTACAAAAGTATCTGTATCGAAAGGTAAGATACTCGATACCACAAAGTATCGATACTTTTTTCGTGTCCCTAGTTAAAATTTGGAATACACACAGTTTTGTTAATGAAAATTCAGTATTACTTTATTACTAATTTACACACTGTAACTACATGAAAACAAATTATTTTTAAATTAAACGTCATAATTATATCACATTCTTTTTTCCAATTTTAGGATTCTTCAAAATATCCTCCTTTAGCTTTTATCACGACAGAGCAAACATTCGGCATTCTTTGTATTAGTTTTTTTAAAGAATTCTCTGAAATTTGACTCCAACAGACTTGTAGGTACTCCCAAAGTTGCTTTTGATTTACTGGCTGCATTTTTCTCACATTTCTACCTAACTCATCCCATAACAACTCTATGGGGCTTAAATCCGGAGACTGCGCAGGCCAAATCATATTTTTAAGCTCGCCTTGCTTTTTATTATTGGCTAAGTAATTTCTACACAGTGCAGACGAGTGCTTAGAATCATTATCCTGTTGTAGAATAAAACCTCGATCTATAATTCGCTGCCGCTTACTTTGTACACAGATGAATTTGTCTTCACTATTAGATGTGACCCAGATCCTTGGCGGCTAATGCAGAATCCGGTCTCTCGCTCTCTCTGCAGCGTATACACTACCGTAGACTGAACTACCTTCAATTTAGAGGCTATTTTTCTCGTGCTATAGCCTTCTTTGTATAATGCTATGTTCCTTTTTTCGACCCGTTATTAAAAAGTTTATTTAAGACAAGTGAGGTCAATATTATTTATCTGACAAAATATAAAATAATAATGTTTACTATGTTAAAACAACGTATAGTACTAAACCAAGAGTGTAAACGTGTTAAAATTTCTTATCTGTGTAAGCACCAAAATATTCAAAAACGTAATTTGGAAGTTTTCATATATAGAGACACTCGAACAAAATTGCGACGGTTACGTTTTAAACAGACACTAACGCACTTGGCGATTCCTTGCTCAACTGCGGCGGCAAACTACGAGGGTCAAACTGAAAGTTCTTAGAAAATCAAAAACTGATTACATTAGCCAGTTATTAGTTTTATTATATCTTTTCAAAATATTGTCCATTCACGTCAATACACCGCTGCATGCGATGGAACCACTGGGAAAAGCACTTTGCCCACTCGTCCTTAGGGGTCTCTTCAATGGCATCGCGATACGCAGCCACCGCTTCTTCAGCATTCATAAACCGCTTTCCTTTAAGTTTTTCTTTAATTTTTGGAAATAAATAAAAATCACAAGGCGCGAGGTCGGGGCTATACGGCGGGTGACCCAGTAATTCAACGTTTGATGTCGCCAAATAGTCGATCGTTCGCTTGGCGGTGTGCGACGAGGCGTTGTCGTGGTGAAGGAGGATCCTACTGCGAGGTCGTTTCTCTCGAACTTTTTCCAAGACAAGTGGCAAACAATTGGTAGTGTACCATTCTGCAGAAACTGTTTTTTGATCCTCTAACACAATTGTTGCAAAATGACCTATCCTTCCAAAGAACGAGGCCACCATTTTTTTTCCCGCACTTCGATCTCTCTTCACTTTAGTTGGCAACTCCTCGAAAGGAAACACCCACTGAGCATATTGTCTTTTGGTTTTAGGATCATAACAGTAAATCCAGCTTTCGTCACCTGTTAGTATGTCGAACACAGCATTTGAGTCACCTCCGTTAAATCTTTCAATCATTTTACGACACCAATCCACACGATGGAGTTTTTGAGCCTCAGTCAAATTATGAGGTATCCACCGGGCGCAAAGCTTCCTGACCGCTAAATGTTCGTGGAGGATTTTGTGCACTTGACTCATACCGATGCCTAAGCTTGTCCGAATCTGTTGATAGGTCACTCTTTTGTCAGTCTCTATCATACGCCGCACAACACAGATGTTATCTTCAGTCGTCGCCGTAGAAGGCCGTCCCTCACGTAAATCATCAGTGAGATTAGTGCGACCACGTTTAAACTCATTAAACCAGTTGTAAACAGTCGCACGAGATAGGGCTTCATCGTGAAAGGCCAATCGTAGTCTATCATAACTTTCTTGTTGACTTAAATGACATCGAAAGTCATAAAAAATCATTGCACGAAAATTTTCTCGTGTTAAATTCATGATGACGTGACACAGACAATTTTCAATTTGCCGCCAAATCGTAAAACAAATGACAAATGAATGAAATATATACTCAGTAATATTGGCAAAGAGTTATATTTTCAAATTTTAGAATTATTTTTTTATTATATTGTTTATAAGTGGCCAGTTCTAAGAACTTTCAGTTTGACCCTCGTATAAAGGAAGCGTAGGTATTGCACTTCTTTGCTTTTGATGCGTTCAGTATTAATAAATAAAGCAAACATTGTGTTACGATTTTCATTGAATTTTGGACATATTACATTCTTTTTATGTGATCGAAAACTTTTGATCGGTACTGTATATTTAAATAATACGAATTTCTGTGAGTTATTCACGAGCTCATATGCATTGTGACAATTAATTACGAATGAATTTAAAGTTTCCCTATTCCCATCATAGGGTTTTATGAATTTTAAAAGTGTATCAAATCGATATTCTCCGTTTGCACTGGGGTCTTTTTGCCCCGGCTGCCTTTTGCGACTGGGCTGGCAGCCCTTTCGTCTTCAGTATCAGTAGGTAAGTCAAGTACGGCAGGGTTCATTTGAGGAGCCGGCATTGCCATTGATAATCAGATTACTTAAGTTTATCTATTACAAAGTTTACGAAAATAAAGAAACAAAGACACAATAATAGCACAGAATACAAAAAAGAAATAAAAGTAATGGTCACTTACAAAGTAGCACACAACAAAAGACAAATGTTCATTTCTGCGGGACATACTTCGTAGCAGGTACACGGCTGAAGTGGTTTGGGCGCCGGCGCAGCTGGCGATGGACCGCAGTATGGGACGCACTTGTGGAATTTTGGCGCCACGAACAGTTTTTGTTTAGGTGATATTATTTTAGATTCACTGTTTGTGATTTTATGCACTTTGGTAAGTAGGAGTAGCTCGGTGGCGTAGTGGATAAGCGCCACGGCCCACGATCGTTGTTGTTAAGCAACTTTCGCAAGGGTCGGTCATGGGATGGGTGATCAAAAAATTATTACTCGAGCTACTCCGTGCTTCGGAAGGCACGTTAAGCCGTTGGTCCCGGGTGCATTTGCAGTCGTTAATGCCCTCCAATCCGCATTGGGCCGCGTGGAGGGTCATGGCCCATCCTCCTTAGCCATCCATAAGGAAGGCCTGAGCCCCTGCAGTGGGGACGTAAAAGGGCTGATGATGATGATGAAGTAGGTATTAGTTAGGTTATAATTTCTAATTCAGGAATTAGAACACTATGATGTCGAGTTTGTAGAGATACTGAGATACTGAGTTTGTATTATAGTTTAAAGCTTGTAAATAATAATCTTGAAGTAGCACTGCGCGGATAATAATAATTCATTTGCGCGGATCGGTAGAGACGTACCTAGGATCCTATTTTTTGGATCCCTTTATGCTGCCACCAAAATGTTAGAGCGAGCCTCTCCGTTAGAGTTTAAAAAAAAATCAAAGTACAAATAAAACGATGAAATAGTATGAAACTGTGGAA